CATGAGTCACCACTGTATTTTCTTTTGGAATGCTTAGCTCTGTTTCACTTGTTTGTTTATTATCGTTTATATGGTCTTGGCTTTGCTAAAGCTAAAATGGTCTTGTTGAAATAAGCCGGTTCATCCATTTTTCCCCTCAATTTTACTATGTTTTTTGAAGTAAAAAATTGGGAATACACAGTTAGTAAATAAAACCAATAATTCCAGAGGTTGCAAACAGAACATTATAGCAAGCCTCTGGAAGCTTCATTACTTTTCTAGCATGTTAATAAATTTATACTTTAATGTTGGTCAATGGGGTATTAATTTAATTTAGAATACAGACTTAAAGCCACTGCTGCAAAGTTGATGCCTTGGTTCAATTTAACACAAAATATGTAAAAGCAATAGAAATGTTTTACATTATGTTTATTTTCAAAAGTGAATACCTAATTGGCTCACAATGTTTATCGAATCCAATCAGTGGCAGCATGTTTTTAAGATCTGGGAATCTGAAAATTCAGTTGCACAGAAGGGGAAAGCGACTTGGCTACTTGTGCTGAATAGACTTCGATATTGCTTGAAGTTTCATTTACCTTGTATGACAAGCATTCTTCTTTCATTTTGAAGCGTATTAGATATATCAGACAGGGAGCTTGCATCTACAGTGTTCTAATGAACTAATTAAAATGAAATTATGGCTGGATAACGTTGGGAATGGGTTTCTGTTCTGCAGCATGCGACTGGTATAGTGCGCACTGACAATTAAGGCTTCCCTAAACTTTTGCTGAATGCGTCTGGGTATCTTCCAGCTTTTGTAGCCAGGTGGTCTGTCAGAATACGGGAATTAAGTTCTCTTTAGGGATTGACAGTGGAAAAAAAACTGGGAGAATGCTGAAGCTGTTTGAGCCTCTGTCTGCTTGTCTTCTTGCTACAAACATGCCTTTCTGACTTGACTGGATTGTGGAAGTCCTCACATTTTGTTCTTAATGGTTATCCATTAGGGGTAAGACTCGGCAAAGAACTTGAGCATACCTAAAGGATAGAAGCTGCGATGTCCAAACACACCTCCTGGTTCCCAGAGGGAGATGCAGAATATCCTTCGTACCTGTCAGGGTTCAAATCTATACTCTCAACTCACGGGACAGTCTTGATGCTGTGCTATTCTGCAAAAAGATTTATTGAATGAGAGAAAGGAGGAGTGCGGTTTTGAAGCCTAGCGGTTAGGGCAGTCATCTGGGGAATGGGAAATGCAGGTTACAATTCCTATAATTCCTGTAAATTATTCCATACCTTTATTAGGTCTAAGATTATGGCTGTTATATACTGTACTTGAGGCTGCACTTTGGGACTATTCAGGAAGTAAAGCTGCTAGAAAATGCCTCATCCACTTGCATAGTGCAGTTACTTATAAAGAACATTCTAGTTTGTGCTGGCACCTGCAGCCATTTCTACACCTGAGGTCTTGGATTTAAACTACTAAATTTTAAGTGTTTTTACACAGAAAGAGTACATCTCCCTGCCATAGCTGAAGTCAGCAGAATTGCTCAAATTAAAAAAATTCCTTTAGCGTAGTTGTGCTGGTATGGCATCCTTTCCTTTGGAGCTTACTGTACACCTGATCTGCCTGATCTCCAAACCTTTTGTCAAATTATGACCATTCATTTATTTCCGTTTTGATGCTGTTTATTTATTTATTTATTTAGTTAGTTTTTTAATTTGAGGAATATTTTCCCACAACAGTGGTAGGGCCATATAGATATATTTTTGAAAATATAAAGAAATAAGAAAAAGCTTGGGCCTGCTGCCTCCAGTAGAAGAGATGCTGTTCAGCAATGGCACCTATTTGCCCTTCTGTCTGTTAGATGGACGCTGCCATTAAAATGGCTGTTCAGTGTTGGTTATATGTGTTGGTCTTTCTTCATATGGCTAGTTGCATACAAGAAATTGGATGAACTACTTTTTTTACAAAACTCTTGAGAGTAGGACTTGGACAGAAGCACTATGGATTCATTCCAGTGGCGTCGGGCGAATTCAGCTTTTCAGTTCCCTGTACTGTTTGGCCCTGCAGTATGTTTTTAGTTTAATTTTTGTTCAGTTCTCCAATCTAAACTGCGATGGGGTGAAGTTTGCAATTTGATGAATATAAACTTCTGTGGAATAAGTTGGCAACAATAATTTTTATTTGCTTTTGTAGGAAATTGAATTTTATCTAATGGTGATATTGCTTGCTTAAAGCAAAACTATCAGTTTTAATTCACTTCTGCAATTCAAGAACTCCTTCAAGAAAGGAGTGTGCTTTCTTAGCCTTTCTGACTGGGACAAACCAACATCAGAGCAAGTTGATTTAGGATGTGTCTAAGTGGTATTTCAGAGGCAGATAAGAGCAAGCTCTGTCGTCTTCTGGAGCGTGAGCCAGCTGTGGTAAGTGTGGTGGTGAGCCTCAGCTGGCAAGTCTGGCTGGGTAACTTAGCTTAGTGTTGCGCTGATTTAAGTTGTGCTAGCTCTGATTTAGAGGTAATTTGCATACCTAAAGCTCAGCGTAAGGGCAAGTTATCCGCCTCAAAAGTTCACCTAGGTGTTCCTGTGGAACGAGAGGAAGAAAGAGGGAAGCTGCCGCTTTGAGTTGCTGCAGGAAACCTTCCCCTCCTCTACCCTGGTGTAAGCATTGCTTTGCTGACCTAGTGGGTGGCCCTGGCATAGTAGTAGCTGCTTGATTAATAAGTAGTATCCTGTTCCTGAACAGATTCTTCCGTTGCTTTAAGTATCTGCTCAGTCCTTTAGTTTCTCACAGGACAAAACCTTCGGCAGGATTCCCAATCCATTGGAAGGAACCGGGGAGCCACAGGGGAGGGGCAGGGGCAGAAACCAGAGGGCACCAGCCTGGTGCCATCATGTTCCTTTCCTCAAGAGATACCAGAGAGGCTGTGGTAGGGCCAGAGGCAGGGCGTTTCTCCTCAACGCATCCGCGGTTAGTTGTGTCCCATTCTGTCCCATGAGTCCCTTTTTCAGTTTCATTTTCTATATGCCTTTATTATAAGGAATAACGTTTTGTGTGGTTACTAGTCAATTTTTAAATGGGTATAGAAATTCCTTTTAGTGATTATGTGCACCTTGAAAAAGGGCTGAGCTGGGTTTATGGGTCTCTGTGTTGTGACGTCCGCTCCTACATTTTTTTCATAGTGTGTATTAATAAAGATATTAATTTGGGGGTTTATGGTATCGTTACTGCTTTATAAATCATACTGTAATTACACATGAAGGTCATTGTCCGGTGAGCATTGTGCAGTATTGGAAGGTAGAGACTCCCAGTTGAAGTTTTGACACAGAATCTTCTTGTGACATGACAAGAAAAAACTTTTCTGAGGAAATGATCCCTTAAGGCTTTCCATTATAGTTTTCAGAGTGATCGCACAATTAAAGGATCAGGTACTAAGAGCTTGGTTTGTTTACTAATTGTCATTTGCGTATTAAAAACTGATAATCTTGTAGATTTCTTTTATACTGCTTTTTAATATACAGCCATCACTGTTGTATGTGTAGTAGTAGAAGGATCAGTGGGAACATTGCTGTTGATAGGGAGTAAGCAGGCTCTTGTTCTGATTAATTTGGACTTTTTTGCTTTTTTTATTTCTCTTTAGACAATATTGTCTACACCTTTGCTAAGCACAATTTGACAGTGGCTAAAGTACTGGTGACAGCCAGAGGTAGCATTTACCGTGAGGAAACATTAACCTGTTACCGCTTTCATTGGGAACAGTAGTGACAAACTTGGCGGGGGGTGGTGGTGGAGGGAGCAAGAGGTCTAATGAAAGCACAGCCATTGGCTACCTCTTTAACCTGGGGAGGGGGATGATCTTGAACTAGAGAAATCCTATTTAAAGAATTGGGTAATTAGTAGTCTTGTCACTCTACAGATTAGCATTTTGAATCACTTTCAGTAAAAATGCAAACTGCCTTTATTATTTCTGTCTTTCAAAAAGCACATAATGGAAAACTGTTTCGTTATTTGAGATGCTTCTCTGAGTCGCCTTCAAAAAGGAGATTTTTTTTTTTTCTTTTAATCTGAATGAATGGATTTAGTTTTTTGCTGAATGGCAGTATGTTAAGATTGGGTTTGTGCCTTGCATAGCCCCACCTTGTCTGAGGATTGAAAAGGTAGAAGGGCCTCACCTCACTTTATTTCTTGTATGGGGTAGCAAAACCAAACCTAACCCATCTTCTCCACATTGATCTTACAATAAATATTAATTAGTTTATGAATATTTCATGATCTCTCAGCAATCTTTTCATGATCTGTTTTTCATTCCTTCAACTGACTACTGGTGGGGTCCCTTTCTCCTTTCCATGTTTTCAAGTGGTATTTGTCCTCTATGGGCTGACTGACTTCTGTAGTCCAAGAACCACTAGCTTGTCATCATCAATGAAGTATGCAGCTAAAACTGGGAAGTGATAATATAACCATTTTTAGATGTTTGCACATGATCTGACCCTAATGTTCTGGTGTGGGGTTTTTGGAGTTCACTCGCCCTTAACTATTTATTTGAGTATTTATTTAATCTCTCTCTACCTGGGATTCTGATTTGGGGGGAGCAGTAAAGTAGTTGCAAGCACTCTGTCCTGGGTGTTTTTGGAGAGGAGGAGAGAAGGTGTGAAAGCGTAGAGTGTGGTTCTTTTTCTGGTAGATACTGCTGGTTTGGAAGCTTCTGCTCCAGCAGCTGAGGATAAAAGGATCCCAAATGGGGAGGAGGGAGGGAGGAGAATGTCTAAGACGCTTTACTGGAGGTAAGTAGCCAGTCTTTAGATATTAACAAAAGCTTGACAGCTGTTTTTTTTTTAAAGCAACTCAGAGAATAAAAACAACTCAAATTGTGAGCACATTGTTGCTTTTAATTGCAAAGTTCAACAAACTTTGTATTTCATTCCATTATTTAGTGTTAATAGTTTAAAAAAACCCAACACAACAAAAAACCTTTCCACTTATCTAACATGCTTCTTGTTTCTACTTGTTTTATTTCTAGCATATTATCAAGTTTCACCGTGCCTCAAAAGCAAATAAAAAGCCCATGCAGTTGCCAAGATCTATGGTTAAATCCCTACTCTACCAGATCCTCGATGGAATCCATTACCTCCATGCAAACTGGGTGCTTCACAGGGATCTGGTAAGTGTTGCATGTATTACCTGGTAAGAAAGTTTCACGTGCATGTTGTTGGGTAGGAGAAGAAAAGTCCCTATTAGTAATCTTGCGTATCGATCCGTACAGCTCTTCCTGTTATTGTTGCAGGAGACCAATGGAGACTTTAAACATGAAAACAAACTATGTTTTCACATTGTTTTTATCTGAGTCATCTGAGCTCAGACAATGATGCTAGATCCGGTAGAAGGACTGCAGATATCAATATCCGAAAACAGTACATGAGCCAGCTGATATATGTTGGTTGAACATTCTTTTAAGTTTGTGCACAACTTTGAAAAGACATTTAAGTAGGAAAGTGATTGATACCCTTGTACATTGTTTGGCTTACGTGCAAGTTACCATAAAAGCTAGTGAAGGAGTAGTTTTTTCATGGAGTATTTCTTTTCCATGTGGTATTTTTTCTGACCGTGGGAAGAGAACTATGAAAGAGTTGTCATCTTGAAATTTCTCATGACCTGAAGTGGCTCTTTAAGTTGATTGCAGATTACAAGGGCAGCCAGTTGCCTTGTCTTAGTTACCCTGTTCCCCTTAAAGTTTCCCACCACTCCTCATACTTAAGTGAAGTACTACGAAGGGTTGCAAAAAGAACACTAACATGGGTATAGTGCTTGCTGCCACTTGCATTGTAACTAGAATTTTTGGCATGAGACAAACAATATGATGGTTAATATGCCAAATCTGTTCTAATAGTTATGTTATTGTAACATCAGTAGTAGGTATGGTGGGAAATGTAGTGTAATCTCTGTATAAAGCCGCTGCTTTTATTTGGTTATGTTTCGTAATTGCCCTAGTAGGTCAAAATAGGGATGCATGTCCAGAAACTTATAATTGCTACTTAAGTTTTGTGAGACATAGATTGTTCTTGAGTCTTTAATAGTAAATAGGGGCTTGGATTAATTTTTGGATGTAGAACAAATGTTTTCTTAAAAGATATGAATAAACGTAAGGCAGGCCCGGAATAGACGTCACAGACATCTTCTGAAATAGATTTTATTTAATTTTTGTCATAATACCTAATAACAGTGGCCAGAAGTGGGGTTTCAGGTTTTGGTATGGATCATTTTTTACCTCGTTCCTTGGTATTTATTGTCAGTTTCTCTGTTAAATTCCAGATGTTAGTATATTTGTGTGGGGTTTTTTTCCACTTTTGGAATAGTAGCCATGAGCAAAAGCAGGAAGCAAGTACAACCCTGATTTTCATGTTACAATTATTACTTTCCTAAGGAGACAGCTGTTGCTTTGGCAGAGTGCTGAGATGTAATTAGATACAGCTTGAGAAGGAACACCTGAAAAGTCTATATTCAGCTATGTTTAAGGGAAGCATCTGTGTTTATGGAACTATTAAATATATTTACACTCAAATGCCATACATGAACTTGATATCTTGATAGGAAATACAAGATGGTATCTAGGATAATAATAACAAATACCCTAGAGAATTTTCTTGCCGGTGTTGCTATTTCCAGCCTGCAGCACCAGGTGTTTTGCATGACTAGTGCCGCTACTTTACAGGTCTTATCTGTGGTTGATGTGTTGCAGTAAAGCTGGTGCCTAATGTCTCTGTCTTTTCTCTTGGAACTTTGAGAGGTGATGGTTGCTGTTACGAAAAAGACAACTATTTTTTATGGCACTGGAATGATAGTGCTTGATTGATGTTGGCATAATTGAGAAGGGAGAAGAACAGAAATTTCTGAAGTCTTAATGTGTTCTTGGTATGCAAATAAATTTAAGCTAATGGCTTCTGGGATAGCTCAGTGAGCGAAAGGAAACCACTTAAAAAATTGCTTTGGTACACTGGTGATTTAAAGGTGTATTCAGAATCTTTTGCCTTTTCAAAAATCATTGCAGATTTCTGAAGAATTCAGGTATTTCAAATGGTTATTTTGCATCTTGAACACAGTAAGGAAAAAAAGATGTTATTCTGGATGTGTCCTGCCTGCTCTTGAAATTAGGAGTTAATGTAACCATTTAGTAACCAATTTAAATTCTCAGTTACAAAAAATTTTATGTATCTAATTTTTATTCATATGCTCATACCTGTGATGTTTTGCTTCTAAGAATGGTACCTCAGGCATGATTCCACTGGGATCAGTTTCTTGCATAATATGTAAATACCAACTCTTCAGTGTCCTCTTAAGATGGGGAGCAGTTTGTCTGGTGTTTTTCTCTTAGCTGTTTCAATTTACATCTGCTGGAAAAATATTTTTCTATTTTATGTAAACCAATGTTTTGCATCAAGACACCTTGTACTTTCCTGGTTTAATATAACTCTGTTCTTACTATTTTTAGCATGCATTTGGATGTAGACCAAAGATGGTCACATCCATAAAAGTCACGTTATGCTTATTTCATTGCTTTTTTAAAATTTAAAAAAAAACCTAGATTCTCCAAGAATATTTATCATAATATTAGCCAAATTCTCCTGAGCTGTGGAAATGACCTTTAGAATTTATTTAACAAATGTTACAGTGAAAAAACAGAAACATGGGAGGTTAGGTATTTGTGAGAGTACTTGCTTGGATGTATTTGAAGAACATTGTTTAAATCTTAATTTGTTACTGTCTTAAATCAAAGAGTTTTTAAAGAAGCTAGAATACCAAATGTGCTTTTAAAAAAACCCCTGGTTGTCAATGGATCTGTATTTTTAGATACCTTAAAATTGTTACTCTTAAGTTATTTTAAGATGAGCAGTAGCCAGCAAAAGCATGACAGAGTAATAAAACTGGTGAACAATGTGAACTTGCAGACTTAGAATACATGTCCTGTCCTTTGGCTGAGGTAATGGATAGTTACTGCCACAAGGAGATAGCCTTGTTCCCTTCTCCACTACCACTAGGCATTGCCTCCCATTTTAATGGCCTGGTAGGTGACGCTCACCTGACTCATGGTGAGCTCATTCAGGTGGTTAAACCTGCAGAAAGTATTCACTCTTCTCCTGCAGAACTTGTTTTCTGCAGGATTAGCTCCCTGAGGGATCTCATTGGGAGCTTACATGCATGCAGGAGCTGGTGCAGAAGCAGCGTGAGGATGGAGATGGTGGCAGAAAGCTGAACAGTTCGTTCTGGCATCATCTGCCATTAGATCAGATTATTTTATGATTAAAATGCACCTTTTTAATTCTTAGATGAAAGAGCAAGTGTTTTTTAAAAGGTGAAATTCAATTGTGGTTCTAAATCAATGTAGCCTATGTTTGCCTTTAATCTCTTCTGATCCAAGATTTAAGTCAACTTAAACTCTTCCAACACATGTCCACATTTAGGAAAGTGCCCAAACTGAGGCAAATTATAACACCAAATACACTCACGCTTGTACTTCTAGAAATTTACTGTAGCGTATACTTTAATTTATTGTAATATTGGGATTATTTTGTTTCTGGTTTTCTTATCCTGAAAGTGGCTTATACTTCTTGGCTAAACTGTGAATTTCTGTCAGTTAAAAAATACTCAGCAGTAACTTTCTTTACTGCAATATTCAAACCAGTACAGAATATGGGACAGGAGCATTAGAGTTTTGATTTCTTTGAATAGCATCGGGTCAGTTTAGACACCTTGGAGTTGACATAATTCTATAAAAATCCATACATTTGTTCTCCTATCAAGCCATTTGGAATGGCATTTTGTTGTTGGGTTGCGTGTTGTTGGGCAATGATAATTTTGCCTTTTCAACATAGCAGCACTCCTGAAAGCCACATGTGAGAGGAGGAGGTGGCTTGCTGGCTCTGCTAGCTGTTGGGTATTTCATTATAAACAAGAAGTTAATATAGATAAATATTAGAGGAAGAATATTCTGGTACTAAGCTTTTGTTTTTAAAGTGCTCTGTATACACTGTGGGCTGTCCACTTGAAGGAGATCTAAAATTGTGCTCCATACCTTGAGTCAGTAGCAAGTTAGAAGATGCAAGCACGTGGAGTACAGTGTTATAATATCTTTGTCCCCTCCTCCCCCAAATGTGAATTATTTAGATTCTACAGGAATGTTCAGCAAAAGCCTTACTCTGCAGAGACGTCTGAAAATGGAGATCTTCCATACACTGTTCACAGTGCATGTTCATGTTAGCAACAGAAAAGATTTTGGCACTTTTTCTTGTGCTAATAACCCTTCTGTAGTTGACGTTAGTTGCTTAAGGACAAAAGCAGGCAGAGACCATTTCCTTTAGAACTTGGTAAAAGCAATTTCTATTTGTAATAGGACATATTTTCCTGGAGGGAGGTATTATCTATGAGACGTTTTAAGTGTGCAGAAACTATGTTGAGGAATTAATTTAAGATTCCACTTGCGTCCTTGAGCATTTCCTTAGTATTCTGCTTAACGTTATTAAAACTCCTGGTTGAAAAATGAATGTTAGAAATCAAACTCATCAGAGAAATGAAGACTTCCCCCCCCCTTCCCCCTGCCCCTAGGATTGTGTTAAATGGTTGCTTTCAGCATTCTGAAATCAGAAGCTTGCTCATTGTGATAGTTGTATAAACTAACTTTGTAAAATGAGCCAAGTTCCTAAAGTGCTTTTATTATGATTTTAAATACTTGTTGACTATGAATTTCCCAGTTTCTCTAGTATTGCCCCTCTATAGCTTTAGAATGTCTAAATTGACTGCATATCTTGTTTTATAAATGAAAGAGATTAGTTTACAGCAAAAGCCTTGTAGATGGAACAACAGTGATAGAAGTGAAAAGACTCGACGTTAGACACACCTTCGGACTCATGATTTTGATTTACATACAGAGGGCAGAGCTAACATGTTCTGACGGATCAAAAGGTGTCCATGAATCTCAACATTGCAGAGATTTCAAATAAATTCCTTTTCACTCTAATAATTGATTTGTATTATTCTGTTTAGAAAAAGATTTAGGTGTCTAAAGTATAAGTGAGACAGAGGGTAGATTCTAGACGAGGTGGTTCCCTGGGCAGGTTTGGATGTGTAACTTACTGTTGATGCAGAAGGCGGCCATGCTGCCTCTACTCT